AAACTTAACTGAACTAAGCCTGGGGTTTATACACGCCACGCAAACTCCAGGGAACAGTTTTAAAGAAAGGAAGACGGTCACCTAGTCGCACTTTATTAATTCAAACAGTTTAGGGTAATCACCAGTCTCATAAACTTGTTTCAGTTGAAAAGCAACTTTAGTGCAGAGCCCGTCAATCAAATGCAACCATTTTCTCTTAGCTCGAAAATTTCCCATCCTGCAAAGCGTCATGATACGAATATGTCGAAAACCCGGATGTAAACCTGTTCTAACCACATTGTGGTCTGTATCGCCAGCTTCTGGATTGTACCTGTTCACGATAATAAACTTCCCTTCTTTTGTGAGAACTTGGTGGCAGGTTTCTAAACTTTTGATCATCTCTTCTTGTGTAAAAATGTAAAAATGACAAATAGATTCTTCATCGCTTCCATAAAAGCTAACCATGTGCCCAAGACTCGTACCTCCTAAGCAACTCCATTACTTTATTCCCTTGAAAGCTCCTCTCACTTAATTCTTCTCCGGTTCCCCATTGAGCCATGGTTCTCATGAGCTTGTAGATCTTGTCGTCTGTGCGGCAGCCCGTTCTTTCGGCGATGTCTTGAATGCTGACTGGACTGCAAGAATTGCGCAACAGTCCGGGCAATCCCAAAGACACCAACACACTTAAACAACGGCTCTTCCATACTCCACAGAACATGGATGAAATGGGTGTTTCCTCATTTAAAGCTCTTTCAGTCATGTTTACTTCAGTTAACACGTCTTCTCTTGGAGTAAGTAACGCTCCACGTAATGCTCACGTAACGCTCTTTTGTGGCCTTTTGTGAACACCAAGATGACCACCGTGAAAATATGTGAAAAGGTTTTAGAGTGTTCTTCTCGAAACATACTGAAAGAGAGTTAGATTTATGTAAACTTTATCTATTCACTGGATTACCGAAATTACCACAGAACAAAACAAAACTATGAGTGTTCTTCGAGCGTATTTGTCTTTTTCACGTATCATGAATTAAATTGCACGGTCTCTTTGAAAGCCGTTTCGTTCAAATAATTCATTTTGTCTCGATACAATAATGTAGAGTGATAATAATGTGTCAAAATATAGTACTGTTCCATCTTACTTTGACCAATATATACAGATCTCGCTAAACATTTGCTTCTGCATCCCGTTTCTCGAAGGATANCCTTGAAAGCTCCTCTCACTTAATTCTTCTCCGGTTCCCCATTGAGCCATGGTTCTCATGAGCTTGTAGATCTTGTCGTCTGTGCGGCAGCCCGTTCTTTCGGCGATGTCTTGAATGCTGCCTGGACTGCAAGAATTGCACAACAGTCCGGGTACTCCCAAAGACACCAACACACTTAAACAACGGCTCTTCCACACACCACAGAACATGGATGAAATGGTTGTTTCCTCATTGAAAGCTCTTTCAGTCATGTTTACTTCAGTTAACATGTCTTCTCTTGGAGTAACTAACGCTCCACGTAACGCTCACGTAACGCTCTTTCGTGGCCTTTTGTGAACACCAAGATGACCGCCGGTGAAAATATGTGAAAATGTTTAAGAGTGCTCTTTTCGAAACATACCGAAACAGAGTTTCTCGAAGGATAATGGTGAGGGGGTGTTTATAGTCTTTTTATGTTGTTCTTACACAGAGTAGGTTAAAGGGAACAGTAACAAATTCACATCATGCAGTTTCAAGGTCCAATACAAAATGTCGCCAAACTAAAAACAAGATCTTTTCAGGTGATGCCAGTCTCAAATACTGCTTACGGCCTGTCCGAAAGATGGTAAACACACCAATAGCAGTAAGCAAAATTAAACAATGTGCAGACGTCTTTAGTCTAACCGAGTTTATTAAGCACAAAAAGCAAAGGATAAAATGTGACCTCTTTCGGTCGGGCTGCAGCAACTTTTAGGACAATTTTCCTAATCACAAGCCTGTGGCGTTTTTGCTGTTTAACAGCATAATAATTTGTTCATCAATACTTGACGGACTTTTTTATGCATAAACAAGCAAAAACTAGCGATAAAAACCGACGTTTCGGTGTTTTCATGAAAAATAAGGAAAAATAAGTAGTGAAAATTCTGCGAGTTAATAAAGGTTTTAAAATGAATTTGCATCAGAAGAGTGCGAGGCAAAATTATACAAATACTTTTGCGCAAATTGAGTCGCTTTGCACGTCCAGAGCATCTCGTGCATATAAGCAATCGGAATTATTTCTGTACTTTTTAAGAGCATTAAAATACCTCAGTAGGTCTTCCGGGACTTTGTCCTGCTTGTCGTGATAGCGTTTATGTATAAGGCGAATTAAAGGTGTGGAAACTACCAACGCTTGAGTTTTCAGAAATTTAAATTTTTGGGAGAATGAAATTGAAATTATGCGTGCCCTTGCCTGGGTTGCAAACAAACAGATAGCAGTGTTCTTTTTCATTCACTGTTTTAAACCGTTGCTATCTGGTGAGGGCTCAGCAACATCAATCACAGATGACCACAGAAGATAAACACTCGACACTGAATTAAGGAAAAGACCCTCCATAACTTGAGGTTTTAAAAGAATGGCACAGGAACTGAAAAAGATGGAAACTATTTGCAAGGGATTTTAGGAGATAATTGTTTTGTCAGCGAACGCTTTCCATTTACCAAGTTCTTCATATGTTTCTTTTGCATGGCACGAGCAAAGGTAAACAGCGAGTTGTAGAGAAAGGAATACAATTGTCACCCAGCCAACCCCTGATCTCCCCTCCTTTCAAGTTATCAATCGTAAAGATTAAGTAGGCTTATTAACAATCACAAGCTTCTCTTTCAATTCCTCAAGCTTAATTACTGTTCTTAAGGAAGTTACAACTCGATCGATATAAATCAAGTCACTAATCGACTTGTATTATTGACTATTGACATTATGACAAGTATCCCTTAAGGTACATTAAAAACGATTCGGGAGTTATTTCAGCTGGCCTTACGACTAAGGGAGCAATTTAAATGCATGGCAATTCAAGAATATGCCAACCTGAAGTAATCTCCTGTAAATTAACAATTGTTTAAGACTGAGAAAGCAAACTAATTAAGAGTACCTGCCTGTAAAAATCAGACAAATTCTTAATTTCGCCCTGAAGTAATCTCCTGTAAATGAACAATTGTTTAAGACTGAGAAAGCAAACTAATTAAGAGTGCCTGCCTGTAAAAATCAGACAAATTCTTAATTTCGCGGCAAGGGTCGAAAATTCGA